ATACAGTTGTCCCTTGATAATCCGACAGGTATGGGACCAAAGGTGTGTCAGATTACCAAAAGTGTCCGGATTACCAAAAATAATTACATATTTCGCATTGTTTTGCTAGCAGTAACTTACAATATTCTCTACTCCAACTGTTCGAACAGAACTGCTCACATAAAACACACGAAATGTGTGTCATCGAGTAAGAATTGGATGGGGAGATTCACATCGCGACATGCTTCCATGCAAGCAGACACGTAACGGGGATGGGTACCTTGACGGGAGGTGTGTCGGACTACTGAGCATGTCAGATTAAAAAACGTCGGACTATAGAGGGACAACTGTACATAAAATTGATAGTAATATTCTCAGATAATTTGCTTATAGTTTCAATTTAGCACAAATAACTATTCATTTTCCTGTGATTCAGATAGAAAATTTTATGAGTAACAGAATTTATGAACAGAAAATGCAATAACTAGTTTCCTTATTTCAATAGTGTCTACACTGATGAAAATTGGTTATTGCATTGAAAAAAACAAATTTTTATAATATTGGATTTTCTAAGAATATATTTACATTAATATTGCTTTTAGTGTTATATTAAAAAATATCCATTTTTAATCAAACAACTGTACTAAAACCCAATACATTATATAACTAAAGCCAACCACTGCCATATGTTATTAGGCTAAATAACAGCTATAATATTAATAAATTACCAAACAATTTGATACTAAAGGAAGGCATTAGACACCATCTCTTAATAAATTTAATAATTATAATATTAATTAAATAATTTAAATTAAACTGGAAGAAAGGAATCGGCCTGGAGCGGGACTCTAACCCACAATTGCCACTTACTGTGTGGATGCATTGCCAATTACACTACCCAATCTCTGGTCTGATCCCATCTTCCAGTATATATATAACATTACACTTGTATAATAGTATCAAATTGTTTGGTAATTTATTAATATTATAGCTGTTATTTAGCCCGATAACATACGACAGTGGTTGGCTTAGTTATCCATTTTTTAATAGATTTATATCTTAACAGTGAACAAAAATAAAAACAATATCCACATCTATTATTATTATTATTATTAGATTATAAAAATTTTATCAATATTTTCACAATTTAAATACTTAGATATGATTAAAGATATATAAAAATATTCCAAAGTATTTGGTATTTTTCCTGTAACTTAAAATAAGAAGATAATTGAATTGGAAATTTTAGAATATTTTCCTTTTTACATTAAAACTTTCCTGTCTTTGATTTGTTTGATTTACTGCTTATTCTGCAATTCACATCTAATAATGAAGAATTATTGTCTTATTCTTAAGACAATATTTGAAATGAAAACAATGTATATTTTATCAAATATTTGCTGTCATTTGCAATAAACATCAAATAGTAAATTCATTTATATCATAAAAAATTATATAATAATTTTTTTAAAAATAAATGAATTTGTAGTGATAGATAAAACTTTAAATATAATTATTATACAGGATTGCACTGATTAGAAATGTTGATGCTAACCAACTTGACAATAATAATGACTAAATTATCAAATATTAAAAATATAATTGAAAAAAAATTTATTAGAAAATTATACAGTAATTGATTATTGGTTATTCATTGTTTTGTAATA